GATCACTTTTCTACACAGTGAGATTGGTCGGAAATGAAATTGAACGAAAAAGAGAAGGGGATCGTTCAAGGCAAATGTCCATGGAGTGGATCAGTCCAGTTTGGGGTGAACCTAATGCATTCGACCTTCCTAAAAAACGATAATGGCGTTCAATTGCTTTCAATACCAGTAAACCCACTTGGGGAGATAGGATGCTTAATTTGTCCTGACAGCTGTATTACCGGGACTCGACCAGGGAACTATAACTGTGGTAGCGCCTTATTAGCCACTCTCCCTTATCATGAAAATGTCAGATTAAAAAAAGTTCGTACAGAAATTCTGCAGAGACACTCGGAAAGCGTGGTCCCCTCTCCGAAAATAGGGTTCTTCCAACTAGTAGATTCCCTGAGCCAATGATGGAATTCTGTCGAAACTTCGTTGGCTGTCAGGGGTGTAGGCGAAAGAGCTTCAGGTTGGGATTGCCCTGAGAGAGAAGGTATGATGAAGTTGCTTCACAAAGGTGATCATCGTTATGAAAGAGTAAGGAAGTCATGTGATCTTTCAGTTCTCCAAGGTATGCTTTTAAATTATAGAGTTGGCTCTTATCGCATGGATCGATCCTAATGATGTGCTAGCCGAGGGCTTCAGTGATAGCAATGGCGTGTTCCAGCTAGAAGGAACAACAGATGAGTTAACAGCGATAGAGCCTGTACTGGAGATCTACCATAATTGCAATTATGGAATCAGGGTTAGTGAAATTGCTCTGCACAAAAGAAAGATTTCACTAGAGAGTCTTTTGATGTTACTCAATCTCCTCTGTGTGTGGGCCCCGCATTCAACATCCATTCAGAATCGTATTGGCATTTTTAATGTATATGTGACTTATACAATAGTTTGCGGTAGCCTAGCTGGCCAGTGTTCAGGTCGGTAAATTCATCCTTCAGGGCGACTCTACAGCCGGTTAACTGGCAACAGAGGGGATCCTCTTTCGGTTTTGGCTCAACTAAAACTTCTAGAAGCCTTTTATGCTCTTAGAGATGGGAAGGGTTACCGATAACGGAACTTACCAGTTAGTGTCCTAAGTGTCCTCAGATCGTGTAACCTCTTCACCCAATTTCCTCCATGCTAGACTCAATTTCAAGGATGTGTTCTTTGAAAATCCCAAGGTAATTCAAGTGCAGGGCAAACCCTACATGCTTCAAGTGAATTTGTTTATTTCAACTCAGTGACTTCGCTCACATTCAGAACTCTGGTTTAGCGAAATTCGGAACCATACCTTTCTTGTTTGTTTATCAGACTGTTTTCGAAAGTTTAAAGCCTTAATACAAAAAAAAATCCAATTTTGAAACTAAGACTGATATCCATTTCAGGGTGGACTCCGAAAACTACGGTTTGGCTTACCGGATCAATATATTACTGCTGGTTTGAACGCTGAAAAAACCATCGATGTCGGAGTAATCAACCTGGAACTCGGATATAAAGAAGAAACAAGAATAGAACTCGAGGATGAATATGATCCTGATGAATCGACTCTGGTCGAATAGCTCTTTTTTGATTCCAATTTGTAATAAAACTCTGCCAACGCTTTTCTTTCTGAGTTTTCACTCATCCAATGAACAAGCCAGTCAGGCTATAAAACCCTCTGAGAGAGCTTAATTGTTAGCAGACTTTCTGGGAGGATAGAAGCACTGACTTGTACACCGGCAGGCTTCAACAGTTCATTGTAGAGGACGCATGGGCATTCAAACCTCCCCTACGATTCTAAATGGAAGTCAAATGCATGGGCACATCCCAAGGCATGTTTGGTCAACGCAAGAAAGCTTTGCCTTTGTTCGCCTGAAGCTCTCCCTTCTAGTCCATACGTGAATCACAGAATCGCAAATAAAACTCCCAAGACAACCAAGTAACAGTGGGAAATCGGCGCCGATTAATCCGCCGCCACTGGCGCGTGTCACGGCAATTTCGAAGTGAAGTGCGAGTAGATCCGTCTTAACCTACTTTAGCTCGAACAATCGCCATCAAGCCCTATGGATCCACTGCTTTGCACACATCAGAATCCGGCCTGGAGACTGTTGCAAATTCTATGCCCAAGTTTAACGACGTGTTTCACTTCCAGCCGGCTTCTCTACTGCCACGCCCCATCACCAGTGTTTCTGATGGAGCTCTATTTTTTTTTATCTATTCACTGTGAATGCTCTGAACTCTCTGTCTGTCTATCTGTCTGTTTGTCTGTCTGTCTGTCTGTCTGTCTGTCTATTCTGTTTAGTTCTTCCATGACTTCTGATGACGTGCTTGTTAGAGACACCACTGAGACTTGTAGGGTCCGATGGTCGGATTCGGACAGTGACGCAAATGAAGCTTTCACGTCCCATTAGTTGATTGGATCATGTTCAGTAAGAACAATAACTCAATAACTCCCTGGAACTGGGGGACCACAAGTTCTACTAATTCACCTGCCCTGAATGGCAGTACGTAAATTATGAACGCCTTCAAATTCTTTTGAAGTTTCAAGTGTAAGCTCAATGCACAACGCATCCTGACTTCGTGGCCCATATGGAGGCTTTGATCTTCGTCATTATAATATTATCTGATACTTTTTCCCTTCCGATAGTGAAAAGTTTACTGTACTGATTGGTCCGGATGTTTAGATATGTTGGTGCCACTCCATGTAGCACTACTGATACGGTTATCCCATGGTTTCTTTTTTGGTACAGGCGGCGGTAGTGGATGTCAGTGTGTCAAGGCATGTCCGGCACCCGTCACTTGTGCTCCACTACCCACTTGTGCAATTCCTCTGCCCTGTCCTACCCAGATCAGCTATGCAGCTCCAGCTCCTGCTTATCAAAGCGATTATCAGGTGAAATTATTAACATGAAGCACCAAAAATCTTGAAAAATCCAACAGCTTTGCAGGTTTCATGGAGAAATGGCGTACCGGCACAATACGAATTGCCAGCATCGGCTCCGATTTCCACTTCCTATCAGGTTAGTACAAAGACTCCCTGCAGTCCTGGGGATCAATATCGGATGTGCTGACTATCGATTTTTCTGAAGATAGCTTATAAGAACCCGAACCGATTTTCCCTGGCATGGCGCCCACTGTGTGGTTCTATAAGGATGAGATCATAGAATTGCTGAGTCACTGGCCAAGTTCAAAGTCTTTATCACCGGATTTTCTTCCTTTGAGATTCATAAAGAAGATTTTGCCTGCAATCGCTTTACCATTGGAATATCTTTTTAATCTTTCCTTCACTAGAGGTGAAGTGCCGAGTCGATGGAAAATGTCATTTATAACCCCAATACCTAAAAAAGCTCCTTTTTCATGTCCGGGAAACTATCGCCCCATAAGTATCACGTAGGTTTTTGCTAAAACATTTGAGAAAATTCTGAGGAAGCATCTTCTTAAACACCTTGAAGAAAATGGTGTTATACCACGGAAACAGCATGGCTTTTGTAGTGGAAAGTCAAGAAAAACAGCTTTACTGTCGTGTCTCAATGACTGGACAAAGTCTTTTGAATTAAAGCAGCCGACTCATGTGATCTACTTTGATTTTTCAAAGGCATTTGATAAGGTCCCACTCAATAAGTTAGTCTATAAACTACATTTGGTCGGAATTCATCCAAGGGTAGTGCAATGGATTCATAACTACATGGTTGATCGTCAGTATCAGGTTCGGATTGGCAATGATTTTTCTTCGGTTTTCCGCACCTATAGTGGTGTGCCGCAAGGGGGAGTACTCTCACCTTTGCTATTCCTTCTCTACACTTTCGATTTGCCCAAGGCTTTTGAAAATTGGGGTGTTACTTGCGTAATGTACGCAGACGATATTAGGATTTATAAAAGTATAGGAACAGTCGATG